CACAATTAAAAAGTAAGTAAGTGTAGCTTCTTTTGGACATTAGAATTGTCCATTTCTATATTTGCATTTCTATCTGTTGCTTTTTGACATTCCACAAATTGGCCAGCTCATTCTGATGATTGTAAACCAATAACCGATCATTTTTTTAAATCACATTCATCTTGCTGATTGAGCTTCCTAATGCTCTCATTTGTTTGTACAAGTCAGTTCGCTGATTAAGTCAACCTTGGCCTCGGCTGGTCCCTTTCCAATGCCTCAGTCTCATCCCGGAGGTCCATGATACCCTGATAGTCTCAGCTGGAGACAGACCAAAGCTTTCAATCTTATTACAACACTACCATCTTCCCAGCCCCAATCACGCTTTAATTAAAGTAGTCAGCCATGGGACAAGCGTCCAACGAGGACAAGTGAATTAGTACTCACGTCTGGCCCAAGAGGTGGAAGATTTGTGTTTTTTTAATTTGTGTTAGTTATTAAGCTTGGTCTCTCAGATGTTTCAGTGAGACTACAATAGGTGATTTACAGCATTTACATCCACAGGTTATTATTCAGTGGACAAGAATTTGAATACAATGGAAATGGTAAGACTGGAGTTCATGTATTCCTATGTGACAGGTGTCTGCTAAACCTTAAAACAAAATGATTTGAGCAGAAACAATTCCTGTTTGTAGGAAATCTGGTTTTACATATAATACAGGTCCAAGGAGGCACACAGTTTCACTATCCTGCAGAGGGGTGATGCTGTTGTTGGCAAAAGCAATGACTGACAGTGCAGGGGTATGTAAGGTTTCATATCTATCAGTGTAAAACTGGATGTAATCTTAGACACACAATGCAATTTCAAAAAGGCCACTGAGACAATCAGAAGAATCACAAACACATTTTACAATGTAGGAAGCGGGATATTAAGTACACAATTCTCTGGGTATTCATCATAATATTATAAAGCTGGATTAGTTCCCACTAGGATCAGATTAAACTCGCTGCTTAAACGGCAACATACTGTATGTTAAAGTGTTTAAAACAAATTTCCATACGAGGATGGAAATCTTACTATTGATCTGTTCATATTCAATATGTGTGACTTTTTTTTTTAACCTAAACATGATTAGATGTGTAAAGAAGAGTCAAATAAAATCTCTGAATAATTCGTTTTTACCCCGCTCACCAATTCTCCTCTGGCTGAATTATCGGACAGATTTGGAGGCAGGATGATGCCGTGAATTAATCATGAGGTTTGGACAAACCCAAACAAAGGTTTACTCCCAGATGAATGTGTTCCTCCGTGATCCACAGTCTCCACCCGCTAAAGTTATTTGTGTTGTATTTATTCTCTGACATGTGAATGTGCCATCTGTGATTTCCACTTGTTCAATATCAGTATTACTTTAAGCCATAAATCTTATGCAACATTTTTCTCTAGCAGTACCCCTCCCTGTCCCATTAACTGTGTAGTTACACAAGCGTTGTGTAGTAGAAACAGTTGGCATGCCAGCTAATCCAATCCAACACTAACCCAGCTGAGAGAGAAAATGAACAAAAAATTAAGGGATGTCTGTTTCAATTATGATAACATTTGGATCATTGCATAATAATCCACTACCAAACATGCAAAATATCTGAGCTATTGTCCTCTAGTGATATACACAGCCAGCTGTGAGATTTTGTGTTTTGTTTTTTTGTATTGACAGGAAAAGACTGGCTGCGTGGGTTCAGCTTGGGTATACAATGCCACGTTGTGTAAAACAGTACAGTTTCAGGTGATACGAAATGCTTCTGACAACCACACTTAATTGGACAGCAGTGGCTCAGGCAGTAGAGCAAGAGGTCTGTCACTTGGAGGGTTGTTGGTTCAAGCCCTGGCTCCTCTAGTCTATGTGCCAAAATGGCTCATAGCACAAAGTATTGTGTGCCTGTAGAAAGCGTAGTTAGAGTGCTATCTAAGTAACTGTCCAATAAATTCTTTAAAAATATCAAGCAAGTTTATTTAGAATTAAAAAAAGGTTAAAAATGTATTTTTCCTTCAGCAAAACAAACATTTTTTCATTAGAGTATATTCTGTTCAGAAAATGTTTGCATTCAAAATCTTAATTACACCCAATCAAATCAAAAGTAACAGAGGATGGGTACACAGTGTTCATAAAGAGATGGACATGGTCAGCAACAATACTCAGGTAGGCTAAAGGAGTTTTAAGAATGCTCATTTGGTAAGGTACCCAAAAAGTGCCAAGAAAATATAGCCTGCACCATAATTTGAGCACCCTGAACCTGGATGGATCCACGGATTCATGTTGTTTACACCAAATTCTGACTCTACCATCTGAATGTCATTAGAAATTTAGACTGCTTAAATCAAGTAACATTTTTCCAAACTTCTTTTGTATGAATTGGTGACCCTTTAGTGGTGTTCTGCTGCTGTAGCCCACCTGCTTCAAGATTTGATGTGTTGTTCTTAGAGAGCTGCTCTTCCTGTTTATTGACTTGAATCAACCATTCTCCTCTGACCTCTGGCTCCAACAAGACATGTTTGCCCAGAGAACAGGTGCTCACTGTGTGTATTTTGGGTTATTAATATAAGCACCTTCATGTATAAGTCCAGTTTTTCTAGTTTGTTTTTTAAAGTTAGAGGTACTTTAATTGATTTATATTCTTTTGGGTAGTCAACAGGGGCTTTGTTTAGGCTACTGGGTTAACATGCTCAAGTGCAGGACTGAGCAGCAGCAGGTTGAAAACTATATCTAAAGCCAAGTCCAAGAGAGAATCCCGAGTAGGAAGAACAAATCAAAAGCCGAAAAGCGAATCAGAGAAAGTAAAGAACACAAGGAGATTAAAACAGATGGAAAGGACTATTCGTACACACAGGGTAATCACGGAAGTGGAGACAACTTGGGGATATGAGACACAGGTACAGGCCAAAACCCCCCCCCAAAAAAACAAACAAACAATATTTAAGTTAGATACTGGAGACAAATTTCAAAGTAAAACAGAAAATACCAACAAAAAAACATCCCCCAAAAAATAGAAAGACAAGAGAACGTACACTGAATGCAACACAGAGGCACGCTGCCTTGATAACCTTCTAATGTGACCATTTCTGAACAGTAACAGTAGCAGTTTAGTAACTTTAACCTAAACCATGATTTCTCATGAATCTAATAAAACTGTATTACCAGTTAATACCATCAGAAGCCTGTTTTATATTATGTTCATGGTAATTAATGATCCTGGTATAGTGAACAATGCAATTGGGGACTGGAGCCATGTGAAAATAGCTTTAATGCATTTATAGCATGACCAGTGTATAATGGCCAGTGTCTCATAACCAGTCATTCTTATACTTACAGGAGTACCTTTTTTTCCTAACAGTTCTGCACCCGGTCAAAAATGTACATAAATGGACACACACACACGTACACATATGTACACAGTACCTGAGTATAAATATGAAAATAAATGGATGTATTTGTTTGCCCATCTGTATGTGTGTGTTTATTCTGAAATATCTCTCATTCTTAGACCTATTGATAGTGTGGAAATTAAGAAAATCTCATTTCATGCTGTGAGTCTGACATGAAAATCACAGCACTAGATTTTCCCATGCATAAGGCAAAATTTCATCCTTCACAAAATATCCTGACTCTTAGCAGTAATGTCTAAATAGCGTTTCCATGGCAGATGGTTTGTGTGACAGGCTGTCCTGCAATTATGCTATTAAGGGGGAAGCCACTCCCTGTGCTCTCTCACTCTTTCTGCTTCTCTTCATCCACACTCCCAAGCGAGCAACCTATAAAACCACAACTACTCACTATTTCCTTTTATTAATGAATAACCCAAATATTCTTTTGATCAATTATTTAATGATTCGGTCTTAACAATGTCAGAAAAAGTGACAAAACATGAACATTTTCCAAACTTGATAGCTTGCTTTGCAAATAATAAAGAAATGTATCATAAATTTGGATGTAAAAACAAACAAACAAACAAACAAAACCTAATTCCGATTAGCTGATCAGAATTCCTTTTAATTGGTTGGCTGCTTCTGTAGTTTCTGTATTGCTCCATCTACTGTCTACAGCCTCCAGTCTTTACAATCCTTCACAAAAATTATTTCTGCACTTTATCCGATTATTTTCCCACTGCAATGTAATTCCAGTACTCAGACTCACATCCTTTCTTTGGTCCATCTTCTTTCTTGTCTATTCCTCATCCCATCTTTACCTGCAATCCTTGAGATTTATTCTGGATAGAGACCTAATTCTAGGAGAGCGAACAACGGTTCGCATAATTTGGAAACAGCATGAGTGGAACAGTTGGTCATCCCTTAATTTCCACAATATATCAGAATGCGCTCATTAATTCAGACGTTACCTAATTCACTACAGAATTCTCCTATATAGAGCAGATCATCTCTTTGTGGAGCATATAAAAGCTCTGGTTTCTACGCAGCCTGTACGTCAAGTTTTTAAATAAAGCAAACTGCAGCAGGTAGTTACAGGAAATGTTGGATCAAGTTCTGCAACACCTTAAAAACTGCGATATCCACAAGATGTTTAACTTGTATTTTAATGTGGCCGGTGGCACCTACTTTACAATCTGTTTCATCCAGTTGGCTTCTACTGTAACTTCTCAGCAGGAAGCAAACCAGGTGCCAGGCGAACCACAGGAAGCACCTAATCTATATCGGTTTATTAAGAAATAAAATAATAAAACCAGCCCTCATTAACTTGTCATACGTGTGTTTTTTCTTCTACAGCAGCGGCTTCCCCCTGCCGTGTGTGAAACTGTTGGCAAAGGAGGGGACTGGAGACGGAGGTGGGGGGTATCGTCAGCCACATTATGTAAATAAGGTGCAAGAGCATGTGCCAGTTAAACCGCAGTGTCGTGCGAAGTGAGATGAGGCACAGGCTTTGGACGGCAGAAGCCGGGGGCCGTCGGTAGATGGCGGTAACCCAAGAAACCTGATCCACCGGGTTCTCGGCCACTCTGTCTCAGTTTGCAGCACTCGCGTTGAAGGCAGAGGAGCCGAACAGTTTGAAGGACATCAAAAGAAACAGGAGAGCTCGCGGCGCGTCCTCTCGCTCCCCCCCCCCACCCCCCTCTCTCTCTCGAGCCGGAGACGGAACGCGTAGTCTCAGAGAGAAAACAGAAGAACCCCCCCCCCAAAAAACAGAAAACGGGAAAACTAAGAGCGCCATGGAAGACAAATCGAATTCGTTCTCCAGCAACAAGGAGGAGAAGGCGGATGGGAATAATGTTTTTCAGAGGCAAGACTCGATACAGAAAAATAACACGGGGAGCCAGAACATGAAGGACCATGGCAACTCAGTGGGCTTCAAGGGGGAGCGGGAAGAGACCATGGTTGGTTTTGATGATCTGGAGGGGGCGGCCAGGCAATATGGTTTTATGCAGAGGCAATTTGGGGCCATGATGCAGCCCGGAGTCAATAAGTTCTCCTTGCGTATGTTCGGCAGCCAGAAAGCTGTGGAGAAAGAGCAAGAAAGGGTTCAGACGGCCGGATACTGGATCATTCATCCATATAGCGATTTTAGGTAAGGGCTGGAATAGACACCTGCTCAAACCCCCCTCCCCCTCCCCTTTATTTTATCCACCCTCACTGTCACCCTAAGGTCTGCAAGCTATAGCCTCCACTTGTTATCGCCACTCTCTCACACACAACCTGGCCCAAAGCACATACGCTAATCTACCTCTGTATTTAGGCAATCAGGCTTCCGCTGTAGGGGAGGGGAGGAGGGCTTCTGTCAAAATGTGCTCAGTGATTGTGTGTGTGTGTGTCTGTGTGTTTCATTGCGGCATTTTTAGTGTTATTATTATTATAAGAGAAAAGGGAGGGACGCATTAAGGCTAAAGGTGTATCAGTGAAACGTCCTTGGATAAAGGATGGTGAATGTCATGATTGGAGAACACACACAGAGCTCAGCCCTCCTGACTGCTTCACACCAGCGGCGCAGTGGCAGCTTCTCATTGCGACACATTCCCTGCTCGTATAGGGGCGACCGTACCTGGACACAACGTGACAGTGCCATTGCACCATCGGCGGTTGTAAACATTTCTTTGTAGCTGGATGTGAGCCGATGGGCCTGCGTGCATAAAGGGAAAAAATGCACAGAATGCGGTAAAATCGTGCAGGGAGACGATTAAGGAGAAGATGGTCGTGTTTTGAATTAATTAGTAACAAAAAAATCGGATCTTCGAGTCTTATCAGAGAGTTTTTACATGCATTTTTTTAACTGACTTGAATGAGGAAATGTGATGGAATGTGTTTGTTTCAAAGGAACCGCAGAAGGATCGTGCCACACTTCCTTCCTCGGCACCCACTAAATGTCATAGTGGTTGATCATTTGGATTTGGTCTTTGGTTTGTGTAATTTATTTATTTTTCCTCTCAGCTGCACCAGCTCTCTGGCTTTATTGCAGCAGAGAGTTTGAGTTTCAGACCAGCTGCCTCCAATTTGCTTACATTTCCATACACAGTAAACAAATGAATCCAGGTAAAGGCGGTACGTGCTCACCCCCCCCCCCCCTCTCTCACACACACACACACACACACACACACACACACACACACACACACACACACACACACACACACGAGCTGCGTGTTTACAGTTTACCTCTTCACCAATTAAGCATCTCATTTGGTCCACCCTCTGCACCAGTGTCACCTGGCACAGCTTGGTGGTGAATATCATCCCCGTTTTCCGTTGTCGCAACACGTAACGTGTCGGGGCACGTTGTCGTCCCCCCCTCGGCTCCCAGTGCCTTGAGCTTAGAGCTGTCCATGGTCCTGAACTTAGAGCAGGCTGCAAAAATGCAGCGCTCCCTTTTTCTGCAAGGCTTTCTTTTGCTGCTGATTTTTTTTATGGCAGGTGATTTCTTATTAAAAAAAGGTTACATTTCCTGCTGGCTTATTTGCTACATACATTTGTTGTGATTAATGAGATACCACATGGTACTCACGGTAGCGCTAAACTCTATAAATCTTCATGCCCCACCCCTAGCAAGATCCCCCCCGCCCTTTCCATGCATAAGAATAAAGATAACTAGGCTATCATAGCCTCAGCCACACAAAGACACTGGTATGCGTTTGCCCCTCTGCAGACACAGATGGACAATGATGGTAGGCAAGGATTAGCACAACACAACAGTCAACGAGCTTACCAGACTCAATTATGTAAGAAGATTGACCCCCTCCAAAAGATAGCCAAAGGGTATGACCAGAGCAGTTCAGTGAAATGGATACCTGTTCCACAGCTGTTAGTGAGTCAAGAGATTAATTAGTGGTCCCAAAGTGAATGGGCTGCATTTGTTATATTTGAGGAATTTCAAAAAATACAGTGGGGATTACAATGAAAATCAGCAGGAAAAAAAGGCTCTGTAATGAGAACATATGTGTGATTGCTCAAGCAGACTGGGCCTTCTTCTTTCTGCGCTATTAGAAAATGTTTGTCTCACTCATGCTGGCAGAGGCCCCCTAAGGTTACTTCCTCATGACATTTTCCAGAGGGCTGTTTTTCAGAAGACGCTCTTGTCCTCCAGACAGTGCAATGAAACGACCCCCTTCTAGGCCGCTGAGACCGCCTCCTGGCTTGAAAGTGCTACCTTGAGGTTTTCATCCCAGTTTGTGCCCAGTTTGTGGTGGAAGAGACAAGGCTGCTTCTTTGTTGCACGTGGCTCCATGTACTATTTCTTGGAAGCAAATCTTCCTCTCTCATTTTTTTCTTCTTTTTGCTAAGAAGTCTTCGTCACTTGTTCGTTAATCTTATACTGTTACATACTCTCATCTTAATGTTATGTGAGCAAAAACAAAAGACACAAAACACTATCTTTAATGAAAAGCATTACGTAAGTACAGACCATGAATGACACCAAGCATTCACACGGGCTTTATATTGCTTTGTCGAGGGTTGAAACTCAATATTCAACATATTCTTTGTACACAGTAGCTGCTTAAAGATTTATGGCAGGTTAGTAATATTCATTATTAATAGATTTTTGAGAGGGCCCGTGCACGGCCTCGCGCACCTCTGGTTTTGCTAAAGGTGGCTTTGTCATGCTCCATATGCTGTTGTTCAAAGACGTTGTGCAGGTTTTAAGCCTTTTCAAAGTAAATTCTCATGTTGCAGTTCTTTTAATTAACAGAATGAATTGTAGAGTCAACTGTGTTTCTTTCAGATAGTCTATACTCTAAAACCTGCATTCTTCTGAGTGGTTAGAGGCAGAAATTTTACAGTGTAGCTTTACTACCCCTAATTTATTTATTCCTAATTTAACAGCCTTATTAAAAAGAAGAAAGAGGCGAGTAAAGCTAGTTTAGAGTATTTAATCAAGCTTGAACAAATCTTTTCCCACATGTTCTGTTTTACTCATCTCGACATTCGTAGATGACTCTGACATCCTTTTTTTTTTAACCCAAAGACTTTGTTTTTCTCTCTGTCTGAGGATGTGCCATGCTGTAGCACAGTGTACCTGCTACACTGTAGACTGGTTGTGCTGAGTAGGATCATGTGGACTTCATTGTGTTGCTTGGCAGGAGTGAGTCTGGCATTGATCATGATGGATCACTTGTTGTAAGAAGGAAACCTACAAGACAAAATGTGCTGGCTTGATTCGAGGAAGATTTTTTTTTTAACTTTCTTGTGATTAATCTGCCTCAGCTGGATTATTAGAGGCTCACTGCTTCCCCCTTTGGGGTTCTGTAGCTTCCAGCTCTTGTTATAAGTGGAACATATTGTCTCAAAGTATTTTTTCAGCGATACACTCAAATCGCATACGCTTTTTTGCTAGTTCATGCTGCGTGAATACATTTGGCAGAGTGACCAGAGCGCCACAGTTTCTCCGTTGCTGCAGAGCTTACAGTGTTTGGGAAATGTCTCCCATTTTAAACAGTCACAACAGCAGCGTGTTATAGCATTCAGACCAAGCTTTTTAAAATTGATTGTAAACTCGGGATAAAAGATGATTAGCAGAGTACACATTTCATCTGGATGTGAATCCATAGCTGGGACGGGACTTGAGTGCTGAAATGGGCTGGAAGGGGAGGCTGTACTCCGACAGCACCGGGTGAATGTGGAAGTAGAGTACTTTAGCTGGAATCCATTGCTAGTGTTGGTGCCGCAGTTACAGTTAAGTGCACTGCACTCCGTTACTGGTTTAGTTGCGGTGCTTTCTTAGAAGTGGCACATTAGACCAAAAGCTTAAGCTTAATGCAGTATCAGAGCTGCCTCTGTGACTAGGTCAGTAAAACCAAAAGGAGCACACCTGCGTTGGTGTTACCATAAATAAAAAAATGTTTTTAGCATTTAAACTTCCAAATTAGTATTTTCATTATTTCAGTCTGATAACTTAACTTAAAATGAGTACTTTATTACAGAAGCAGAATACAGTTAGACTATGGTACCTTTGAAGTTACATACTCTGTTGTTTTTGACTTTGGTATGTGATGAGTTACATGTAAACTCTAGTAGCATTGGGGTTTCACTCCCTTTGACAGATTTCTTGTATTCTTCTGATGACGAATATTTCAAGGTTGCTTAATGCTTCTTTTATTTGAGAAGTGAAGCACAATGTTTAATTCAACAGATATGTGGGTGTCTTAGAGGTCATGTACAGTATAAATACCACCCACAAAAGTCACAATAGAAATATAAATATGTTAGAGATGTGGGAACTCTGTCAACATGAGTGGAAAACATCCAAATTCAAAAAGTGATTCAACTTAAATTCTGATATTAAAATCTGTTTGCTGAAAGCAGGAAAATAAAACATCTTAGTTCACAGGGACTAGTTTTTTTTAATCTCCAAATTAACAGACTGTACATCTTGAACTCACATTTTTGTGTATTATTTATTATTTAACTATTTTTGCTCTACCGTTGTTCTCTCTTTTTTTTTTTAACTATAAATGTTTGTGTTCATTGATATTATACAATCCTTGATCCCCTTAGATTAAAGTTGAAAAAGATTAGTCATGGCAGCCTCTTCTTTAAAACTGAAATACAGTATAAACAATTACAAGAAAAAAAAGTCACACACAACATGACGCATCAGGTCAATAAGCATCAGCTTATTGAAAGGTTGATACAATGACACACATGCTAAAAAGCGTATAAAAGCACAGCTTTCGTATGTTTTTTTTAAATGCTCTTATTACTCATAATGCTATAGCTCGGTTCTAGTGTGCATTGTACTTGTTGCGTAACTTTGTTGTTATTGTGCTGACCTGAGAGGACTCAGTTTGCATCATGGTTTAGCATGAACTCAACGAGCTCAGCAGTTCAATATCTGCTGGGGTAAAAATACCTATTGTGGACCTTATCAGCCACCTCAATGTTTAGTTGAAGTGAAGACAGTTATCAGACATGTGATCTGTGGGTATTTATAAAGCCAAGGCCTCGGCTTAATTTATTGAAACAGATCCATTACTGGGTGGCAAGTCTGCCAGACAGGCATCCGGCCAGCCAGTTCATTTCTACCTTCAACAACAACGTGATGGTCAGCAAGGCAGAGCAGAGGCAGGCAGGCACGGAGCGGGGATAACGTCAGTGGAGAGTTTTTAGAGTGAGATAGGATTGCTGAAAGCATCTATTTTCATTCATGGTTGTCTGGCCTTTACTCAGGGCCCAGAACACTTTGTGAAAAGAGCAGGGTGCTGATGAATTACTTCTGGCTCTGTTCATCGAAAGGCAGAGGGCAGGGACATTAACACAGCCAGGAAGGATGGAGAGGGTCTCAGTCTAAAGGGCCCTGAATACATATAGTAAGTGATAGCAGTACATTACTGGATGTCCTTGAATCGTAATTAACTTTGAGCCCGAGAGTTTTGGTACGAACTCAAGTATATACTTCTCGGAGCGAGATCTTAAGCTTGCATGTATGAGCCTTTCCAGATCTGAGCTGAAAGATTATCTAATATTGTCGGCTGTTTAGATGTTGCATGTTATCTGCTGATAGCAGAAGTGGCAACGTAAGATCTTTCAGGCTGTGTACCTTTGCAGGCTGAAGCACTGGATAGGCTGCAGTGAAGAGTTTCATAGGCAGTGACTGATGTCAGAAGGTGACTACTACTGACTTTTATAATCCCCTTACCTCTCTGCTTCCCACATGAAGTTGGAGTTGGAGCAAACTGGCGTTATAGCTATCGTAATGAAACTTGTTTCACACTTTCCCTCAGAGTGAATTGAGTTATCGCTGATACGTAACCTTTTAAATGTTCTAATAAAAGAACGGGATGTAGCTTCGTGCTCTTGAAGCGTATCTTATTTGTAGGCAGCAGAGTATTTGAGCAAGTTCAGATTGAATAAGAGGCCCAGCTAATGTTAGAAAGTCATGTGACCTGACACAGTAAATACCGTATTTAAATGTCAGAAGAGAGCAGAGTGATCGGGCATTTTTTTAAGCAGAGCTTTATAAATCAACATTGTGCAGTGCTCCTCTTTTCTGGGACTGTTCTTCCTTTTCATAAGACATGCAGTGACAGAGTGAACAGTCACCTCTGACCGTATGCAGTGCACTGGGATAAACAGAATTATACATATAAACAATATCAGCAGAATAAGCAGAAAAGAAGCATGATTTCTTTTCCCCTGTGGACTTCAGTTTTGTGGCTACAGCATGTTTTATCGCTTGCATTACTCATTTGTTTCGGTTTTTCCACAGGTTCTACTGGGACTTGATAATGCTCATCATGATGATGGGGAATCTAATCATCATTCCTGTGGGAATAACCTTCTTCTCAGAGCAGACTACCACCACCTGGCTGGTCTTCAACGTGGCTTCGGACACCATCTTCCTGGTGGACCTGGTCATGAACTTCAGAACGGGGATCGTCAATGAGGAGAGCTCAGAGATCATCCTAGATCCCAAAGTCATCAAGATGAATTACCTGAAGAGCTGGTTCGTCGTGGACTTCCTTTCCTCCATTCCAGTGGATTATATATTTTTGATAGTGGAGAAAGGCTTTGACTCAGAGGTATATAAAACAGCTCGCGCCCTGCGAATCGTCCGCTTCACCAAGATCCTCAGTCTTCTGCGTCTGCTAAGACTGTCCCGACTCATCAGATACATACATCAGTGGGAGGAGGTGCGTATATATTTGTCTTTGTCACATAAATTAACAAAGTTGTGCGGTCTCTTACTGTGATTGGGTGGGGTCCTTGCTTGGGAGTTATCTACTTATCTGTAGGTAACTAGTGTAATCAGTTTCAGTTCACTGATGTGTGAAATTAATTTGAAATGTGAAATCAGAGCAGATGCTTTTATTAGGAGAAAAATACAACACGTCAACCAGGTAAGGAAATCCCAAACAGCTGATTCTCTTCATCTAGACGTAGCGTTTTCAGAGGTAAAGCCTGACCAGAGACTGGAGAAGTTGGATGAGTGATGAAACGTTTCGCCACTGAAATCACTACGTCCAGATGAACAGAATCAACGTTTTGGGAACACATTTAACAGTTTACCATTCCAGTGGTCTCCAGTGTAAAAAGATGAATCTGAGGCATAGTGAGCAACCTTCTTAATAGTTTAACTGTAGTGGATTTTGTGTAAATATCACAAGGTTATACCCAAAGGACATAACAGAGAGTGATGCATTACTTACCCACTATTGAGTCACTGCATGTCTCAGACTTTTTCCAACCTGAATCCAGTGTTCTCATCCTTCTCCTAAGGACTAAGTAACTACACGTCATCGTGACCCTGTCATTTCAGCTAGTGGATCCAGTTTAGATATCACGGCCAAAGTCATTACTGTGTGTACGATTTCATAGTTAAAATGTAAATAGGTGAACATAACGCTGTCATTTTTAATCAGCTTGACTCCCTCTTATTTTAAATGTCCTTGCAGCAAAGCGTCAGGGACACGTTCCTCCCTTATTGTTACACGTGCTGTTAGCCATGCTGTTTTAGATTGTTTGATATGCACGGAGTGTATTAAAAATATATCAGCAGCAAGAGGAGTGCAACAAGGCATAATGTGCTATGTGCATGGACTGTATGTAAAAGATGGATGCAGCCTCCAGGTTTGAAAAGTGGAGTAAATTTGTATGAAGGTATACGGGAAGGTTGTAGAGAGCAGATGATGCTGCTTGTTCATGTGTCATTTAACAGTTCGGTAAGCACATTCGTAATTAATCTAGTGTCTCATTTGCTAGCTTCAGCCCATCTTTATTACACAATATTGTATATAAGAAAGTGAAAAGGAACTTTTGTGTTATTAATTACTTTGGTGTAGTATCTATATCCATGGGGGAGGTCTTTATCTGAGGGAAAGCTGTAAAACTAATGAATGAATACAGTTAGAAGTCCAAAATTGATCCTGCCCTTCACATTTCCAAAGCTTTCCAGTGGGCCGGATTAGAGTCTTTGCGCGTCCAATTCTGGCCCGCAGGCTATATATTTTACACCCCTGCTATAAACCAATCGATGACATCACGGTGGCCACATCTGGCTTTTATATAAAAGCTGCTGTTGTGCCCGTGTAAACATAAGCTCCAGTCAGAACTGTGCCTGATTCCTGGTACCCATACTACGGATCAGCGAACTTTTATAATACAGAAAAAGATCATCTTTCTGCTTAAGTACCAGCGAGGCAGCTGACTTTTACAGTGTTTATGGTAGCTTATAGCTTTCTGTCAGTGTGTGCTTTAAACATTTTTTATTATCCTTACTGTGTAATGTGGCATTTGAAAAACAAAACCATTATTCATGCTTCAGTAAAGCATTATTAAAGCTTTGCTGAATATGGTCTCTGGTTCAGGATTCTCACACACACATACGAGCACACATACGTCACACAACACACTCTGAAAGTGAGCGCACTATAGATGGTGGTTGCTTGGTGTTATTATCTTGGTATGTACACTATGTGGGAAGCTGATTGTGAGGTTCAGCGTAGTTTGCAGACTTGTATACATTGGGAGGATGAGACAACGTTGGACCAGGACAGAAGCATAAATATTCAGTGCTGCAAGGTTACAAAGTACACAGGGATGTGTCATAATGCCTGGCTGCAACAGCACAGCTTACAGGCCTGCGCTACTCTCAGTTCATCTCTCTCACGTCATTCGTCTTTGCCTCCAATCGTTTCGCTGCTTATCAAACTCCGTGGCTCCTTCTTTCCCTCTGGTTCGCCCCCTTCCCCCCAGTTGCATGCCTTTTCTCACCCTCTCCCTCGCACGGCATGTCCTCCTTCGGCATGTTGTCTTTCTTTAAGACATGTCCAACCCCTGTGCACTTAAGAAGATAGTTTAGTATATGAAGCTTGCATCAATTTACTTATTTCGCTGTAACCATATTAAACGAGCACACCGAATAATAAAACAACGGCGAAACAGACACATCCACCGGAGATGCGAGAGGGGAAGAAAAGGCACTCGGTGGAAACATTCCAAGCTGTCGTAACATGTTAGGTGTGGGATGCAGGATTAGAGCTTTAATGGAGGGACGAATGTAGTCTCCTGCCATTGCAAAGATTTTCAAGCTGTGAACGTTCGTTACGTCAGCCGTGGGATGGACCCAACTAGTTATTCAGTCAGTTTCTACAATAAGTCATCCTCCAAACTGTATGTCCATCCGTCATTCCTTCATCTGGTCTTTGCTCCCTCCCGCCCTCTTCACTCTGTCACCATCTTCTCCCTCCATCTGTGGAGTAAAGGAGGCTGTTATTTCACCAGTGCTGGCTGGCCATTCAGTCTTTTTTCACTTTTCCATCACTGCTAATGTCCTAGTCACGGTCTCTATCAGAGAAAACCTATTCTTATTCTTTAGGGTTGTTACCCTCCTAAAATCTTCACTTTTAGTTCAGAGCGGAATTTTCCCATTTAGCGTGATCGATACTGAAACTGTATCTAATATATAAAAAATGAGTCTTTGGAGTCACCTGCAGGTATGTCTGAATGATTTAGCTGTGTAATTTGTCAGTAAATACTCCACTTTCCTTTATTAAAAGTGCTTGTGGCAAGAAGGATCCTGATACAGGCAGTTTTGGTGGATATCGGGTATTATGGTTGCAGTAAAACAGTTGAACAGCTACAGTATTAGGACCCAGTCAGGACCTGACGTGTCTTATTTAACAACTCGCACAACTGCCAGTCATTAGAAAGACATTATAAACTCCACTTCGATGACTCTGCCTGCGCCAGTTTGGAAATGTAATAAAGATGGAAGAAAATTAATAAAAAATAGTAAAAAAAAAATACCATTACTAGTGTTTCATGGCAACAGATATTAAGACTTGGTAGCTGAAAAGACGTCTACTTGTTCAAGAGTGCATGCTGCTGTTTGTACTGTATCCAGTTGTCTGGTTCTCTGTGTGTTTTCTAAATCATTCATCATGTGCATGTGCAAACATAATTATTACAATGTGCAGTACTTAGGGAAATTGCAGTGTACAGCGTGAAGGTCACGTAGAGCAGTAAATTCTGTGTGCTCAAACAATCTGAGTGGGGACCAACCAAAGGGAAGCTTGTGCACTTTTTACACATGTGAAAGTAACTACTGATCTTTCATACATTCACATCAGCAGTGTTGGTCAAGTTACTTGAAATAGGAATTAGTTACTAATTACTTTTCTAAGAAAGTAATCCCATTACTTTACTGATTACTTATTTTCAAAATGAATTAGTTAATTTATTACTTTGTTACATTCCCGTGGCAGCGTGCTCGGTGCTTGCTAAGATTTGAAGATTAATCTCTCCTGCACTCCATATTGTCCACTCGTACATCCTTGTCATGAGACACTCTCATAAAATCACAGTTTAGTAACGCAGTAACGCGGCATGCTTACTGGAAAGTAACAGTAATCGAATTACTTTTTTGCAATATTAATCCCTTACTTTACTTGTTACTTGAAAAAAGTAATCGGATTACAGTAACGCGTTACTGCCCATCTCTGCACATAAGTGCTAAAAAGTGCAGAGCTAAAAATGTAACTTTCTGCTCTGCTTTTGTCCACGTGCCTAAATGCACTGAGGCGCTGCCACGTGATTGGTTGATTCAGCACTGTGCCATTCATGATGTTAAGAAATCCTACAGCTCGTTATTTCCCATAAACAGAGGATTGGGAAAACAAAAAGTCATCTAGCTTACCTCTCAACTATAGTGCCTCATTAGGGAATTACGTGTAATTATTAACAATTTAACAACTGAGAAATGAGAAGAGTTATCTGGTTATTTTACACTTAATTTCACATGATTTTTTTTTTTTTGTTTTAACTTTCAAGGGCATTTCGCCCCCTGCTCCTATTCATTTCTAACCCTGCTTCTCTTATGTTTCTCTTATTACTTCATGCCCTCACAGACACAGAGCTAATTATCCCAATGACCTTAAAGTCACAGTAGTGGTTTTTGTTTTTTTTGTTTTTTGCTCTCTCAGAATGTTGGCACCTTTGGATATGTGCTAATGTCAGGCAGATCTTAATGACGTGTGTTACAGGGAAATGATTTATATACTATCCTATTCAATGCTGGTTTTAGTTTGTTTTATTTAATGAAAATGCAAAAGGAGACTAAAAGGATAACATTTTTAAACTGCTGTAGAAAATCCCCAGAGCTCCCAGTGCCACATCTGGCTTATCACAGTCACCAGGCCTCCCGCCAGATCCCAGCTCAAGCAGGAGGGCTCAGGTTGGGCTTGTGGCAACATACCATCCCCCAAGGGGAACTGTACCCTTTTTGAGGGTACCAGACAAAAACAAAAACAAAAAAACCCCCAAACATCTGTCATACAATATTTATTGTTTATTGTACATTTAAAATAGAATAAAAAACTGTTGTTGGTCGTATTATGAAAACAAAACTGCCACTACTCCTGTTGCTGTTATGTGACCTAAGATATTAAATAACCATTACATCTGTGGTTAAATATGCTTCAGTTTTAGCACAAACCCCCCAACTTGTATGTGTTGTATTTGTCGTACCTTTTGCTGCCCTCTTTGGCCAGGTCTCTCTTGGAAAAGAGATTTTAATCTCAGTGATACTTTTTACCTGGATAAGTAAAGGATGGGTCGTGGTGTACGGTACAGTGGAGACTATATAGTAGTATCTATGTTTTCAGTACTTGCTAGTAATGCATCTTGATTGCTG